CAGTCTCTGCATCTCGCCGAAGTTGCTGGAGTACATCGCAGACCAGATGAGGGCGGGGGCCGCCATCAGCAAAGAGCGCCACAAGGCTCGCGAGGAGCGGGCCTTGCGGGCGCCATGACGCCTGAGAACTTCAGGCCTGGCTGTGGGGCGCGCCACAGTGGCGCCAGCCGGGCTCATTGCCCCTTCGCTGCACCACCCTTTCGACAGCGAGACGTTTTCCCCCTCCGCCCTATTCCTGTGGAGCGAAGATCAGGGACTTCATCCATGGGCGGGTCGGCACGCAGACGGGCCGCCAGGGGTGCTGCGTGGCGGGAGTGGTACAACGACGCGGTGTCCACGCTCAACGACATGTACCACTGCGACCCGAACGATGTGATCAGCCCGCCTCCTGGTCTTCCTCCGCGTGCTCGTAGTGACGCTGAGGAGTATCTGGCTCAGCAGTATCGCGATTTTGAACTACCTCCTGGATATTCCGAATCTCCTCCAATATGCGAGGCAGCCCTCGCAGAGTTGCTCGCATCGGCGCCTGGGTACTCTGGAGAGTCTCGGGTAAGACCCTACAACAAGGAGCTCGTCTCCTGGCCGAAGCACGTGGCGCCTGTCCCGACGGCCGACCTCGTGTCTGACGCCGATCGTTCTATGTTGGCAGGGTGGAGGCATCAAATGCTACGTGACCCTGCTGATGCAGCTGCTCTCTGGAAGGACTCGGGTCTGGGGTCGCCCTATGTGGATCCACGCCTTCGGTTTCGGCCTCGGGAGTATGCTGATTTTCTGCTACGCCTGGACCAGGCTGGCATGCTTGCGTGGGAGGTCGCCGATCGTCAGGCTACCTACTCTACTGGCTTTTTCTTCGTCGAGAAGTCCAACGGCGTCAACCTGCGCCTCGTCTTCGCCACGCGGGTGGCCAACATGTCCTTCTCTGCCCCTCCCTCTACGAGATTGCCGACTCCGTCGGCGTGGAGCGCACTCGAGGCCGACCGCGACTTCTACGTGGCCCAGGGCGACATTCAGTGCGCTTTCTACCACATGAAGTTACCGCCACATCTGCATCGATATTTTTCTTTGCCCGTCGTCCCGAATCGGTACCTGGGCTTCAGGCGGCTCAATGGCATGAATATCGGGACGAACGCCTTCCTGCAGCCCTTCGTCTCCGTCATGCCGATGGGTTGGTCCTGGGCCCTCCACTTCTGCCAGTCCGCCCTGACCGCGGCCATCCTCGACTCGGGCATCGACGAGAGCTCTTTGCTGGTGGACGGAGCTGCCATCCCCCCGTTGCGGAAAGACTCCGACGTCATTGGCGCGGGCTACGTAGACAACTTTGCCACCGTGTCCCTCGACCCTGAGGTGGCCACGACAGCCTGCCAGGCCATGCGTGACGTGCTCGTGTCGAGGGGTCTGCCCGTCGACGAGTTCGCCCCCGCCGCCAAGCGCGTGGTCTTCACTGGCTTGGACATTCTCGGCGACGTCGGCATCGTCCGCTGTAAGATCGACAGGCTCTGCCGGTTGCGTCAAGCCCTGCTTGGTCTACTTAGACGTGGCTTCGCATCGCCCTTGGCCTTGTCAGCAGTTGTGGGTCACTGAGCGTGGGGTATGATCACCAATAGGCCCATGCTGTCGATCTTCAACGCAGTCTACCGCTTCATGAGCCTGGACGCCTGAGTGGCCGTGCCGCTGTGGCCGTCGGTCATCGCCGAGCTGCGCGCGGCAGCCGCCCTCATACCGCTATGGTGGGCCGACGTCAGAGCAGAGTGGTCGGCGATTACTTTCTGCAGCGACGCCTCCCCCTACGGCATCGGGGTGTGCCGCAAGACCGCCGACCAGGAGGTCGTCGCGGCCGCTGGGCGCCTGTCTGAGAGGTGGCGCTATCGGTTCTCCGGCGCCGTGCACGCCCGTGCCCGCGCTCTCGGGATCGAGCCTCGCACTGTGCTTGAAGCTACCGTGGGCAAAAATTGCCTCGAAGAGCGCCGCCGCAGTCCGAGGCCTCCTAAGACCCCTGAGGGCCCTCCGTCTACGCCATCATCGTTACATCAACCAGCTGACGCTGCCTCCCTCGACGGCTTCGACGAAGTTCCCGACTCGATCACGGCTTTCGACGGCTGGGCCACGATACACAGTTCGCGTCACTCGAGGTTCGGCTTGGACATTATGCGATACGAGGCGGAGGCTCTCGGGTTTGCGATGCGACACTCGGCTCGGTCTGGACGGCTTCGTCATCATCGCATCTTGTTCACCGTTGACAATTTGGCTCTAGCTCTTGCCGCTGGCATGGCGCCCGAGGCCTTCGCGACCCTCTACGCCGTCTATGCGCCCTGTCGGCGGCCACGGGCATCCGCCGCGCCATTCGGTGGATCCCCAGCGAGAGCAATGCCGCCGACTCGCCGTCCAGGACGGGCTTCTTCGTCGGGCCGACCTTCGAGGAGCACCAAGCGAATGCCCCCCGAACTTCGACGGCAGCGGACCACGACGCTGGCGGAGCAGAGGACCAAGACCCATCCTGGGCCAGTGCTGCTCGCCCGAGGGGCCCTGTCGGTGCTGGAGACGGCCGCCGTGTCGGACACGACCATGGCCAACTACTGGGGCGCCGCCAAGAAGTTCGAGGAGTGGTGCCGCTGGACGTCCCAGACGTTCCACGGCAGGGGAGGTCGATGTCATCCTAGTTACCTATTTCGTGAACCTCCTTCTGGACGGCTTCGACAGTGCCACGGGCCGTGTACTCATGGCCGCTCTGAAGCACTACCTGCCCGCGATCCTCGCTGGCAGGACTCCGTGCCCACGGGCGGCTCGCGCCCTGACAGGCTGGCGGAAGCTCGTTCCCCCTCAGATGCGGCTACCTCTTCCTCGAGCGGCGATGGCGTCCATCGTGGGTGTCCTGATAGCGTGGAAGCTCTTCGGCATGGCTGTGTTCATCAGGCTGATGTTCGACGCATACCTGAGGCCCAGCGAGGCATGCCGCCTCACGGTGGGGAGCGTGATGCGACCTCGACCCGACGGCGTCCTGGGGTACGGCCACTGGGCCCTGATCGTCAACGACGCCTGCCTCGACCGCCCTGGCAAGACAGGCGAGATGGACGAGAGCGTGATCGTCGACAACCCGACCATCTGGCCGCTCCTGGAGGCCCTGGTTCACGACAAGGGCCCGACCGACGGCCTGTGGACCTTCGCCCCCGACGAGGTGCGGAGTATGTTCCGTCGAGCGGCAGCTGCCCTCGGTCTGGAGACCGAGTTGACTCTCTACTCGCTTCGTCATGGGGGTGCGTCCGACGACCTGCTGTCGCTCAGGCGCACGAGGAAGGAGGTCAAAGACCGCGGCCGCTGGAGGACGGACCAGAGCCTCCTCCGCTACGCGAAGCGGGCCCGCATGCAGCAGCGGATCGCCAGCCTAGGCCAGAACGTCGTGGAGTTCGGCGAGCAGGTGGACAGGCAGATGAACGACCTGATCCTGCAGACCACGGCCCTGGGCGTCTTCCCACTGAAGGTGCCTCTGGCAGTGACACCGACGCCGCCTGCTGTCCAGCCGCAGCCCCCACAGATCACTGCACGGTGGGCCTTCGCCTGACGCGCCTCTGGCGCTCTGCCAGGCGGGCGTCTACGAGAAGCAGGTACTGCCCTGCGCTGGTGCTCGGCTGCGACGGTGGGGCGGTCCGCGCCCTGCAGCGGTTGGGCTTTGGCGTCGTGCACCTCGACTCGAGTCGCCACGCAGGTGACGACATCACCGATCCCGCAGTGATACGGCGCGTCTTAGGCTGGATTCGTTCTAGCTGCCTCTCGTGCGTGTGGGTGGAGCCCGACGCCGCCACCTGGCTTCGTCAGTCCCCTGCTGCGCGGTCTAAGCTGTATCCTCGCGGCCTCCCGTTTTTGACCGACTGTCAAGCTCGATCTGTTTGCATCGCCAACCTCTTTCAGGATCAGTACTTGCGCGTCCTGTCTGAATGCTGCGAGAAGAAAGTGCCCGCCATTTTATGCCATCCCGACGCGTCTTTCATATGGGGCGGCCGTGCGTGCACCACTCTTGTGAGCCAGTGTTCTTCTTCGACAGTTTTCGACTCATGCATGTAGGCTGGTCGCGTCAGAAGCAGATTTCGGCTTGTAAGCTGGAGCGTGAAGAATATTGATCGGCTATCCCTGACCTGTTCGCCTGTTGCCTCGCCGTGCCGTCGCACTCGCAAGCGACACCTCGGCGAGTTAGGCATCCCATCTTTAGACCGTCAGATGCGCAGCGCTGCGCGCCACCCACCTGCCTGTATCCTACGATTCGCATGTGAAATGATGGCCAACAGCGTCGATAGCCTTCGATACGTCTCCCGACTATCGAGATGTGTGTGTGTGTGTGAGTTTTCATTCAAGTATTGCGGCTTTCAGCCAGTGTCTTGGACTAGCCATATTACCTGGTGCTGGCCCCTGCGGCATCAGATTTCGAGTCCTCGCCTGGCGCCCTCTTGCACAAAAAGAATCGTCTGGCCACGGAGTCGTCCACATTATGCTGCCCGCGGCTATTTGTGGCTCTCTTTCGGGCCGCGCTTCCATTCTCAAGTCTCTCCCTCCCCCCCTTGTCTCCCAACTCAAGAATGTTTTTTTTGGCCTGGTGCTGGCCCCTGCGGCGTCAGATTTCGAGTCCTCGCCTGGCGCCCTCTTGCGCAAAAAGAATCGTCTGGCCACGGAGTCGTCCACATCACCATCATCATCATCATCATCAGTATCATCATCATCATATCATCACCATCACCATCACCAACACCATCTCCACCATCATCATCAGCAGCAGCATCACTCATGATCGTCATCATCAACATCAGCACCATCATCATCAGTATCGTCATCGTCATCGTCATCGTCAACGTTATCGTCATCATCATCATCATCGCCATTATCATCAGCAGCATCATTATCATCATCGTCATCATTACGGCCATTTTGGCTCAAGTATTTCTTGGGCTGGCTGCGCCGACGGCTTTTGAGCTCACGCCCAGCGCAGACCTCAGCTGGTGGGCCGCCTGGCTGCCATGGCCAAGCGCAGACATATCGAGATTGACGACATGAACCTGGACAGTGACAGTGAGGACTCCCGGGCGGATGAGGACTCGGGCAATGTGGTGACGCTTGCAGACATCATGAAGCAGCTGACGAAAAGTAATCGACACACCAAGAGGCAGATGGGCAAGGTCACCACGGACATCAAGGAGATAAAGGAAGAGCAGGTGCACATCAAGACGGCGGCCGGCAAAGCTTTGGTCACCGCCGAGAAAGCGCTCGCGGCAGCTGAGGAGGCAAATAAGATCGGTGCCACGAGGTCCACTTCGAGGGCGGCACCGTCGAATGGGTCAACAGATGTCCCTCCCGGCCTTCGGTCAGCTCTTCAGGGGGGAGGAGGAGCTGATGAGTCCCCCGCGAAGTTGGTCATAGGCGGGTTCGAGGCCTACTCAGAACAGGACGAGATGCAGCCATTCGTGGACATGATCCTGGAGTGTGTCATCACAGATGTGAAGTCCACCTGGTTCAGCAACCCTGGCAACCACGCGACGGTGACTCTCAGTGGCCCTGCGAAGATGTGGGAGGTGATCAAGAAGCACCAGAAAAAAGGCAAAGGATCAAGGAGACAACTCTGGCAAGGCCATCTATATCGTGAATGGGATTACTAAAAAGTTGTGGATCAAGAAACACAATACATACGAGGAGAGGCAGCGCTACACGAAGTTGCTGAAGATCGCGGAGGAGCTCAAGTCCAAGAAGGGTGACCTCTCCATGCGCACGCTGGGGGCCAAGCAGGAGGTCATCGACACTCAGCGCAAGGTGCTGCTCGCCTACATTGACCGCGACTCGCAGGACACCAAGCTGTGCCAGAGGAACCTTCCAGATGAGCTGAAGGGCCAGTGGACGGACGCGGACTTCGAGAGGGCTGTTATCAAGAGGGTGAATGACTGGACCACCCAGCAGAGGGAGAAGCGTGGGTAACATTTACGGTGCCAGAAGACAGGGGTACGGCATGAGGAACATTCGTGACCTGAATGTTGTTGCTCTCAACTGTAGCGGGGTCTCTGCAGCTGAGTACGCATTCATGCTTCAGTCCATGGAGTTTGTGTGGGACGTGCATCTTCTCCAGGAGTTCACCGCGGCAGGGGATGGGGGCATCTTCCGCGTGGACGGCCACGCCATCCTCGCCTGGGGTCAGGGGCTGTGCCATCGTCATCCACAGGCGCCACGCCAGTGGTCTCGAGCAGCCTAGAGTCAACAGTGACTCCAGGGTGATGGTTGCTCACCTCAGTGTCGGTTCGGCCAAGTTTTGTTTAGCCTCAGGATACCTCCCGCAGAAGCACTCTGACGAGGACTTCTTCGAGCGGGCGAATGAGGTTTTCAAGCATGTCATCTCCGAGCTGCGTGACTCTGAGATTCTAGTTTTGTCGGTCGATTCGAATTGCGAGTTCGGCGAGAGTTTGCACAGTGTCGAGTCGGATGTGATTGGGAGTTTCTCCAAGGGGTCCAGGAACGAGAGGGGGAGCATATTCTAAAACACTGTCTGGAAAACGAACTGTCTGTCGCCAGCACTTTCTTTGAGGGGGTTCAGTCAGGGACTTGCTTCAGCTACTCTACTGGTACGCTAACTCAGATCGATTATGTTATTACTCAGATTTTAAGGCGTGGTGGGTTTCGAAATATAAGGGTCTCGGAGACTACTTGTACGAACGCGAATCATAGACCTATTGTCAGTAACATCGCTTGCGAACACCAAAGGGAATGGGAGACCCGAAAGCCTCTAAACTGGAAGATCGATCAACCCGACAAGTTCATCGAGAATCTTGCTGCGACGATCGGCCCGAATCAGGCGATCCAGGACATGTCGAATGCGATTGGCCATGCAGGGAGCCAGTGCGGTGTTTCAATGTCTAGGCGAAGCCAAGCACGGCTTGATCGGCACCACCTGCATCAGCTTGAGTTTCAATGGCGCCAAGCGGGAAACAGGCTCGAGAATATTAGATTGAGTCGTGAGGTGTGGAGGGGGCGGCATAGGCTTCTGGAGCTGTCTAAAGAAGCTAAAGCCACGTCAGTCCTGAGCAACCTCCGCAAGGGTGGGTGGGGCAAGAAACGACAAAAACAAAGCTGCCACTATTGCCTGAAAGATCCCGTCACAGGTGCCAGTAGGAATGAGGCCCAGCACATCAGAGAGGACATGGGGGAGTTCTACACTAAGCTGTTTAACGAACCCGCACGTGAGCAGGAGGCCTCTAAGATACCCGAATGGATTTATGACGAGTTTGATGATGAGATCCCCATTTCCTGTCTTCTCTCTAGCATTGCCAGTCTCCAGAGCGGCAAGTCCTTCACCAACGACGGAGTCGTTGACGACATGCTGCGCACGCTTGTCACGGTAGGCCAGCAGTTGCCCATAGGCGCCCCCGAGATTTTGTATGATGATGACCCTGGGGGAGGACTTCGACCTAGGGGACCAGGAGAGTATGGACGTAGTTATCTGTTGCAGTTCGATGGGGGCAGGAGGAGTTCGGAGGTCTCTGGCATCGGCTTTGCCATCTTTGAGCCCGAGGGTAACATGATCACGCACTTCAGCCACCGCCTGACTGCAGGCGCCACGTCGGATGACGCAGAGTGGCACGGTTTAATCTTCGGTCTCGAGACCGCGTTGCTGCACGGCGTTGAGGACCTAGTGGTGGAGGGGGATAATATCAGCTTAATTTATCAAGCGGGTGGGAAGTGGATGGTGTTCGAAAACAGGGTCCTGAAGTATTGAACTGTTGTGAACGCTTTCCTTGCCAGCTTCAATCGCGTTCGGCTTCGCCATGTCCGCAGATGCTTTAACGTCGCCGCCGACTGGTTAGCTAATCAAGCTATGGATCATCACGAGTGTGTTTCTAGTCACCACTCTGGTTTTCACCACAGATGTTTTATATGTATGACCGACGGCGAGGACGTTGAAACACTGAAGGTTCACTCTTGCGAGGTTTGGCTTCCTGACAGGCAGTGTTTCGTGGGGCACCCGCTGTATGCCATCAAACGGGCGATCGACAAGGATCTCCAGGGAGGTTTCTCGAGGCATGTTTCAGATTTTGAAAGGGAGGAAAAACGTCGGAGGCTTTATACTGAAGATGTTCCCTGGCATCTGGTCCGACAAAAATCACGACTTTGTAAAAGCAGGTCTGATCAGATCGTCCTGTCCGAGCTTGCCTTGCTCCCTAAGCAGTCGCTGATAGCCTGGTACACGATGCCCAGGCCTATTGCTGTACTGCCGGTGCTGGCCAAAGCCATCGGTGGAGCCATGCTGGAATACGCAGAAACGCGGATCGGGGATTTTCCATGTGGCTGGCAGTATGCGCACAGGGAGGGGTGCAGCGTTTGTGATTTGGTCCCGGTGCTCGCCATGATTGCCCAGAAGTGCATGCAGATGGGGGTGCAATTTATTCTTGCCAGCATGGATATCCCCAAAGCTTTTGATTTTGTCCGACACGCCCGAGTGCTGGAGGCACTGCTTAAACGAGGAGTTAGTGAAAGCGTGTGCGCGTGGTTCCTGAGGCACATGAGGTCCTTCCACTTCAAAGCCAAACTAAACGAACACGAAGCTGAAATACCTCAAACTACCCGTGGGATTCCTCAAGGCACCAAGTGGGGCCGCAAGTTCTTCTGCTGGACCCTCGCTGATTGTTTGCAGCCTGTGTGGGACCTGTGCCAGCACGAGCGCCTCGGCGTCGCCATGACATCGGTGCTCCCTTGCTCCGTGCATGCCAGGCGGAAGTGTTCAGACTGCGTGCCGCTCTACCTGCCCTTCCTAGTGTGGAGCGACAACATCTTTGTGTTGTGCCATAACCATCTTCAGGCGAAGCGTATTTATCAGCTCTCCTGGATTCTCTCCGAGGATTTGGTTGGGACCTTCCTCTGGGCCGAGTTTCTTTTATGGCTCAACAGGTTTGCCAGGAGAACCCTTGGCCAGGCACTGAGTTGATCGAGGAGGGGGGCTCTTTAAAGATCACGGGGGTGTGGCTGACTTCCCGGGGGCAAACGCACATTGACGCCGAGGAGAAAATCGGTTCTATGACATCTGCAGTGCGGGCCAATGAGGATCTCTTAGTGTATCGTGGGGCAGGCCGTTCGAGGAGAATGGAACTCATCTCCGGGCTGATCAGCTCCAACGCGCTGTGGGCCGCTCCCTGCTGGACAATGGGCCAGGGGGACCTTCTTGCACTTCGAGGGCGTCAATATAAACGTCTCAGTGAACCTTTTCACCTTCCTCGTTTTTGGCACGAATGTGATCAAACATATTGCCAGAGGCTCCATCGTGAATTGCGAGCCCAAAAGATTGCCCAGCAGATCCCCGACCTCGATGTGCAAGCTTTGCGGCGTCAGCATCGATATGTTGGCCACCTTGCTCGCAGATGCAGCAGGGGACCCGAGACTATACAAAACAGAGTTGTGAATTGGAATAGGTACCAGCATGTAGCAGTGGGTCGCAGTGCGAGGCTTCAAGGGTTTGTGAGATTTAGCAATTGGTGTGTGTATGAGTATTCCTTCGTTAGACACTACTACTTCGACAAGGGGGAGCACTGGTATGAGTTAGCGCAGGACCGAAAGAGCTGGAGGAGGCGGGAAACTGAGTGGATGCTCTTTAAGTTAGGGGAGTTTGCAAAGCGTGTAGTTCTGTAGAGTATCAGTGGCGTCGGCGCGCCTCCGTATGCTGGAGCCAGGCTCGTTCATAGCATGTAGCAGCAGCAACATCAGTATTATCATCAGCAGCCGTACCATCATCATCAGCATCATCACCACCATCATCATCATCATCACCATCACCATCACCATCACCATCACCATCACCATCACCATCACCATCACCATCACCATCACCATCACCATCCCCATCAGCATCGCCATCACCATCACCATCTCCCATCACCATCACACCGATCACCATCACCATCACCATCACCATCACCATCACCGTCACCATCACCATCACCATCACCATCACCATCACCATCACCATCACCAGCACCATCACCATATCATCACCATCGCTATGACCATCACCATCACCATCACTATCACCATCACCATCACCATCACCGTCGTCGTCGTCGTCATCATCATTACCATCATCATCAAAATCGCCATCATCATGATCACCCGCAGCGGTTCGGGGACAAGCCCGCGCCGTCTTCCGCCTGGCCCTTTCGCGGACGTCCGTGGCTTGATGGCAAGCGAGTGGCGCTCGATTCCGATCCGCAACACGTTCTTGCACACGCCCCCTCCCCATCTCGAGCCCATCGTCTGTGTGCGTCGGCGTTCTCGCTCCGAGCCGCTACCGCCGCGGCAGGCGTGGGGCCAGCCGCGGCAGCAGCAGCAGCAGCAGCAACAGCGGCGGCAGCACGAGGAGCAGGCCGCGGGCGGCCCGCGACGGAAGCCTGGCTCCGCGCGAGGCGCCAGGTCCGCCGCCGATCGCGGCAGCAGCAGCGGCAGCCTGGACGAAGCCGCGGGCGCGGCGCCGCACGAGGCTGCAGACTCCGCACGCAGGCGCCGCGCGACGCAGAGGCGCAGGCAGCTGCGAAAGGTCGCCCAGAGGCGCGGGGACAGGGAGGCCGGCGGGGCCGGCGCCGCCGCCGGGGCGGGCGCGGGCGTCCCCGGCAGCAGCGGCGGCGCTGGCGCCGACGGCGGGGCCTTGTGCTGCTCGGAGGCGCCTCGGCAGGGGGCGGCAGCCAGGCCGGTCCAGCGGGCAGCGCGGGGGGCGGCCAGCGCGGCGGGGGGGCGAGTCGGCCGGTGAGGTCGCCGTGGGAGCCGGCCTGGAGCCGGCGGGCCCCTGCCCGCCGCGGTCGGGTGCCGCGCGCGGCGGGCAGGTTCGTCGCCCGGGGCTGTCGGCCTGGCGCCCGCGCGGTGGCTGCTGAGGCAGGTCGGCCCGTGGGGCCCGCCTCGCGGCCGTGGGCTCTCGGGCGATGCCTGCGCGCCAGGTGGCCTTCCCGCTGGTGGTGCGGAAGTGGGCGGCCTGCGAGGCTGCGTGCCGTGGGCTTCCTCGGCGCTCGGCGCCCAGGCGCTCCAGAGTCCCCGCGGCGGGGGCTGATCCTTCGGGCTCGACGTCGAAACCCGTAACGGACGAGCCCCAGCCCTGATCAGGATCGACATCGGCGGCCAGAAGGGTCCCGACTGCCAGTGGTCGCGCTGCCTCATGGCGCAGCCGTGTCCGCTGAGCCGCTCTTCGAAGGTGTCCATGGCCGTCTCATCCGCCCCATCCGCGAGAAGTGCCGCGCCACGCTTGGCAGGCTTCAATTCGGGGGCTGCCCTGGCAAGCCGCTCGACCTCGTGTCATCTTATCATTTGCTGCATTCGCCCACGTTGGCGCCGCTCGTCTACTGCTTCTTTTTGCGTGCTGGCAGGGTGTGGAATCTGACCTCTTAGTTTCATAACTTTATATCCGTAAGGGCTTCGCCCCATGCCGCCGGCCCCCTGTCACGGATAATGGGAGATGCAAAAGATAAATCGTGAGGTCTGGGCGCCGCTGTGAAGCAGTGTCGGGACCTGTTTGTTTTTCGACCTGACCGTACAGATCTGCGTCAGGGGTGTCACCGAATTTCAGAAATGTAGCAAATTCCTTTGTTTTCGGACCCTGACCCCGCCGATCTGCGTGAGGGGTGCCATCGAATTTCAGAAATGTGGCAAGTCCTTTGTGTTTTTGGACCCTGACCCCGCCGATCTGCGTGAGGGGTGCCGCCGAATTTCAGAAATGTAGCAAATCTCTTGTGTTTTTGGACCCTGACTCCGCCGATCTGCGTGAGGGGTGCCACCGAATGTCAGACATGTGGCAAATCCCATGTGTTTTTGGACCCTGACCCCGCCGATCTGCGTGAGGGGTGTTACTTCAGAAATGTGGCAAATCCTTCCTGTTTTTGGACCCTGACCCCGCCAATCTGCGTGAGGGGCGTCAATTTTTACCCACCCCAGCAATTCAGAGCACACGCTCAGGGCGTGCTAGACCTGCCCGTTTGGGCCTCCCCCCCCCTCGCGCGGTCCATCAACAAGGAAGTGTAAGCAGCAAGAAGCAGAACTGTAATAGTGGAAACTGGAAGCTGCAACTGGTACAGGAAGCTGCGAACCTTCGGCCTACAGCCTGGTGGTCCCGCAAGGGGGCCGGCGGATTTTCTTTTATTGTAAGTTATCCAGCTGCCTGCGGCAAATCCCGCCACCGTGCCAGCGCAGCAGGGCAGCCAAAAGGGCATTTGGTTCAAGATCCGTTCCAGTTAATGACTCTGTCTGATCTGGTGCGTGTCTGGAAAGCCCTTCTTGTCCGCAGCTTCATTCTTCCCTCTCCGTTCAGACGCTTCTTGGGGACATGTTGGAAGCTATCTTGGACTGGTCTTCGAGCATATTGCAGTCGCCTCGGGCAGCATTTGGCCATCCCCTAGCGGCCTCCTCTCTCCGTTCATCTGAGGCGCTTTCTGGGGCCATGTTGCAGTCTATCTTGGACTGGTCGTCGAGCGTACTATAGTCACTCTCGGTGGCTTTTGACCATCCCGGAGCCGTCTCGAGGCCGAAAAGGCTTCCGAAGCAGTCCGACTGGGGCGATACTAATTATAAGAGCGTGTCCCAGCAGGGCGGCGGCCCTGGAAAACGTAGCCTGGCGAGTGGCCCAACCCTGTGAAGCTGGGTGCAGCGCAGGACATGGCCCTCTCCTCATGGACTGCTCACCGCGAGAGAGACGGAGTCTGGGGAACCTGGGAAAAGGGGCAAAATGGGTGCCGCCCCCCGCATGCGGTCGGGCCCGCTGAGACCTTGAGTGGAGCTTGCCATGGAGCCACGATCCTCGTGAGTGACGTGCCGAAATGGGCCTGGGCAGGAAGAGGGAGAGGAGGGAGAGCGGGAAGAAAGGATGAGAAACCGCATGCGGACGGGCCCACTCAGACAGTAGGTGGAGCTCGCTAAAGAGCCACAGTACTCGTGTGGAGGGAGAGCGGGAGGGGATGATGATGCTGATGATGATGCTGATGATGATGACGATGATGGTGGTGTTGGTGGTGGTGGTCATGACGATTAGGCTGATGCTGCTGCTGCAGATGATGATGATGCTGACGATGATGATGATGATGGTAATGGTGATGGTGATGGTGATGGTGATGGTGATGGTGATGGTGATGGTGATGGTGATGATGATGATGATGATGATGATGATGATGATGAGTGATGATGATGATGACGACGATGACGATAATGATGCTGACGACGAAGTTGATGATGCTGATGCTGATGATACTGATGATGATGCTGACGATGATGACGAAGATGATGCTGATGCTGATGATGATGACGATACTGATGATGACTACGACGTTGATGATGATGACTAATTATGATGCTGCTGATGATGATGATGCTGATGATTACTACGACGGTGATGATGATGATGATGATGATGATGATGATGATGATGATGATGATGATGATGATGATGATGATGATGATGATGATGCTCATGGATGATGATGATGATGATGATGATGATGATGATGATGATGATGATGATGATGATGATGATGATGATGATGCTGATGCTGATGCTGATGCTGATGCTGATGCTGATGCTGATGCTGATGCTGCTGATGATGGTGGTGATGATGATGCTGATTACTATAAGTATGATTAGGATGAGGATGATGATGCTGCTGATGATGATGCTGATGATTCTGATGATGCTGATGATGATGATGACGATGATGATGATGATGATGATGATGATGATGATGATGATGATGATGATGATGATGATGATGATGATGATGATTGATGATGATGATGATGATGATGATGATGATGATGATGATGATGATGATGATGATGATGATGATGATGATGATGATGATGATGATGATGATGATGATGATGGTGGTGGTGGTGGTGGTGATGAGGATGATGATCAGGATGAGGATGAGGATGAGGATGAGGACGAGGATGAAGAGGATGATGATGATGAGGAGGAGGAGGAGGATGAGGGTGAGGATTAGTTGGAGCAGGAGGAGGAGGAGGAGGAGGAGGAGGAGGAGGAGGAGGAAGAGGAGGTGGGTATGCGCACCGCTGCGGATTCAGAACAAGGGTCTAACAACACAGGATGGCTGGGAAATACAGAAGCCCCACCGGGCAATCAAGCAGCGTATTCTAACACTCCACTATCAAGCAGGCGTGGGGGCGGATTTCATTGGTGATGTGCTCACCACTGTCATTATCCGCGGCATTTCATTCTCGCACGCTGAGTAGCAAGTACGCTTTCACTTCTGATTGTCTGGTTTTTGAAGGCTGCCGACGAGTGGAAATTTTTCCGGCCTGCCGCCGTGACTCCACCCGAGCCGCCTCTTCCAGTCCAGCGTGCGTTCGCCTCCTCTTCCTCTTTTTTATCTCCCTCTTCCTTAGCCTCCTCCTCCTCCGCCTCTCGCCGTGCAGCCATACCCTCGCAGTGCCAGCAGTGCAGTGCCGACTGCCAGCTCGATCCGGCCAGCAGTGCTGACAGTCAGACTGAGCAGTCTCAGTGCTGCGACGAGACGTCAGCCAGCAGTGCCGACGGTCCGCTTGGGCCAGCCGTTGTGCGCCACAAAGGCTGGCAGTGCCAGCAGTGCAGTGCCGACTACCAGTTCGATCCGACCAGCAGAACCAGTTGCCAGTTCGATGTGGCCAGCAGTGCCGACAGTCAGCTCGAGGCAGTCTCAATGGTGTGACGCGACGTCAGCCAGCAGTCCCGACAGTACGCTTGGTGGGGCAGCCTGTGTGTGCCACAAAGCTTGGTGGTAAGCTTTTGCAGTGCCAGCAGTGCATTGTATCCGCTCTCTTGACCCAGGCAGAGTACCCACTGCCAGTTTAGTGTGGTTTTTGGTTGGGCCAGCCGTTGTGAGATAGTTTTATTGCATTGTGCAAACAGTCAGCTCGGTACTCAGCGCCGGCTACCGATCCCTCCTCCCACAGTCTTTACTGTTGCCTCCGATATCATATTTGACCTGCGCCAGAGATTCTCACAGCAGTTGTGATTCTTGCTTCTGGAGCAGGGCCGAACTGAGTGCTTCTGCCGAGCAGGCAGCGCGACCAGAGAGTCGTCGCCTGTGTCAAGCTCTGCCTGAGCTCGGATCGGCATGGCGAGTAGTTCCTGAATGGCGTTTCGGTCATGCTCCAACTTGCACTAAAGAAGCATCCTGAATCTCTCCCAGGGGCGACCTCGCTCAAGGGAGGAAAAACCACCCGGACCGGACAATTGGCGTTTACTAAACGGCCCTGGGCGTTTATGAAACAGCCCTGCCCTGCTCGATTCCTTCTTTGGGCGCGTTTACTAAAGACCTCGCGTGTCGGGGTGGTTATTATCGGGGTAGATTTCTGCCCTCTACTCGCGGCTGACGTCGCGCTGCCATGAGGGCTGTCAGGCGGCTTGTTCCCAGCCATCCTGTGCTGAGCTGAGTCGGGCCCTCGTCTTGAATCCGCGGTGCCCCCGCGTCCTTACCTCGCTCAGGAGGGGAAAAGACACAGACACAATCAATCGTGGATTCCCCAGAAAATCTGGCAAGATGTGGGAAGTGGGGGGGAAGACAGGAACCCAGAAGACATGGGAAAATGTGGGGAATCCTGTCATTTGTGTGTATTCACTTGTGTGTCCCAGGGCCCCTTCGCTCACCTCCTCGCCGGCGTCGGTGGCACCCGCTTTCAGTTCGGCACGCCCCTCGCATGTTTCTTCTTTTTTTTTGTTTTTTTCTCTTGTTTTTATTTTTTTTTCTTTTTCGCATGTTTCTTGGCCCATGGGGAGCCGTCTGCTGCAGCCGGATACGGGGCCCACGCGGGATTGCAGCAAGCCGCCCGCTGCCGAGGGCGAGCAAGATGCGGGCTCGCACCACACAGCTTGTGCGACATAGCATCCAGCAAATACGTTGCACCGCACAGCCTGCATCGCAGAGCTTGTGACGATGTGGGTTTGCGCCGCGCACCTTACACCACACAGGTTCGACCACATGCTCTGTACCACATAATTAACTTGCATCACACAGCCTGCGACGATCCGGGTTAGGCACCGCATAGCTTGCGCCACATAACTGGCGCCATGCAGCCTGCACCACGTAGCTTTCACAGCATAGCGTGCGACGACGTGGGCCAGCACCACGCAGCTCAAACCGCATGATTGGCGCCACTTTGCTTGCATCGCGAGATACATGTGACCTTTTTCTCAAGCGAGTTTTCGCCCGAACCATTCAAATCAAGCCATGTACCAAGACGCTGTAGGCGAGACCCACCCCAACTCATGACACATCGAACACATTGTGAGGACGCTTCAAGCGAAACCGCAGCCAAATCAAGTAAATCGCGAGGACGTATCCGTCGAAACCGCCCAATCGAGGCCAGGCCAAAGAAATCGTGAGCACGCCTCGTGCGAAGCCGCACCGGAACAAACCAAAGCCAGGCAAATTGTGAGGACGCATCGAGCGAAGCCGCGCCGAAACCAACACAAGCTAAGCTGATTGTGAGGACCCATCGAGTGAGAGCGCGCCAAAGCCAAGGCAAACTGGGCAAATAGTGAGGACGTCTCAGTCGAAGCTGCCCCCAAACCATGCCAAACAAAGGCCCCAACCAGGCAAAGTTTGAGGATGTCTCGGGCGGGGCGCCCACACCAAGCCAAACCAGGCCAAACCAGGGAAATTCTGCGGATGTCTCAACCCCAATTGACCTAATTTGAACTTATGAGGGGTGGAGGGGGCCTTTCCAAAGTGATCGATGCTGATTGTACTTGCGATCGAATTATTTTGTTGTTCTGGCTTTTGCGCGGCCCCTCCCCCCACTTTTGCGAGGAATGGACGTCCGAGCGACGCAACAAGTTTATGTCAGTGTCGTGATGTGTCTTCTAAAGTATCAATGGCACGCCGCCGTCAGGAGCCTGTCAGCGTGTTTCTTGTTCTCCTGCTGGATGTTGGCCGAGGACCTGATAAGTTTTCGGCGCTGATGCGCTGATGGGGTCCTTCCGCCGGCGTGTCATTGATATTGTTTTTGCTTCCCCACCGCGAGCGTCCCCAGGTCGGGGCCGCCCATGGTTCGACCACAAAAAAAATAACAGCACCACCCCACCCGCGGCCCTCCATGTTGCGCTACGTCCCACCGGGGGAGCGTGTACCACGCAAGATTTCTGGGTACACTTTTTGGTCTGCGGGTCGAGAGCGGGCCTCTTCCTGTTAAGAGCTAGGCGGGGCAGATTTCTGGGTACACGCTGAGGCCACTGGGGCCGCAGGTGGGGTGGTGTCGTTTGTTTTCTGGTCCATGGGTGGGAGAACACTCGGGGTTCGAGGGTCGAGGTGGTTGAGCGTTGCTCGGCCCCTGTTTGACCTCCACGAGGCCTCGCGTCGCCGCGGCTGGATCCCACTCCCCCCGCCCCTGTACGAGCAGAGCGCCTCTTCTCAGGGGAAGAATAACCACCCATATCCCGACGATGGGCGTTTGCTAGCGGCCCTGGGCGTTTACTAAACAGCCCTTTCCTACTCGATTCCTTCCTCGGGTGCGTTTACTGGAAGGCTTCGCTTGTCGGGGCGCTTATAATCGGGGTCGTTTTTTGCTCTCTCTATGTTTGTGTTTCTGTTGGTGCTGAGAGCCCGTGCAGACGCCATCGGCTCGGCGAGAGCCTCGGACCGGTGCTGCGTCGCTCCCTCCCCCCTCCTTCCCTCCTGCCCCTCCCCTCCCTTTCCATCTCTCCCCCCTCCCCTTCCTCGCTCCCTCCCTCTCCCTCCCCACCCTCCTCCCTCCCTCCTTTCCTCCTTCCACTTCCCTCCCTCCCTCCTCCCCCTCCCTCCTCCCCCTCCCTCCCTCCCTCCCCTCACTCCCTCCCTCCCTCCCTCCCTCCCTCCCTCCCTCCCTCCCTCCTTCCCCCTCCCCTCGGCCCCGATGGCATGCGGCGGCGCCGGCCCCTCTGCAGAGGGGCCGGGCCGGGCTCGGCACAGGGCGCGGGCGCTGCTCTGCGGGGTGTGCGCCCCAGGGGGGGGGGGCAGGCTGCAGGGCGAGCTGGGGAGCGTGGG